GGACAAGTTCCCTAGAATTTGGCATTCCGGACGAGAAACGGGGGAGTTGCCAATGTTCTACACAATTCGAGGGGGAAGGGGGGTTTGGCTGTGTCTCAGACAAAGCTCCGTTTTTTTGGCCATTTGGGTGGGTCCAGGCTGAACCTCTTCATGTCTTTCTTTGCAGAACTGAAGGTGGCAAGGAGCCATCCCCGTTGTCGCATGCCCTGTGGTGGGTTCCCAAGAAACATGGAATCCAAGTAACCAAACGCAGAGAAGAATCAACTGTTCCCACCAGTTAAAAGTTGCCACTGGAACATTGACCGACACACGGATTTGACAACTCCGTTGTAGCCTTTGCCATGGCGAAACCCGGACAACGTGCATTCGAGACTCGAAATGGCGGCACTTGATGGTGCCAGACCCAAGGAACACCCATCCCTTGTGGTTTCGTTCAAGGGGAGCCATGGGTTCCTTCCCAACACCCGGAAGGTGACTCCCCCTTGAGCACCAGCAAGATAAGTATGTTCGTCCATTTCGGCGAAGGAGCTTGTATTGAAGCTGTGGGCAAAATCCATGTCGCACCATTTTGAAACCATGGTTGAAACCGTGTTTGTTGTTGGTATTTCAGGGAAATCGAATCCTTCCAGGGTTTCTTAGGTGGTGCGAAGCAGATTTCGTCCATCCATAGTATTGATTGATATTCAACACCACGCCAAAGAGCTTCTTTACACTTGTCTTCCATTTGTGAGGCTAGCAACACCGCCGCAGGCTTCGAACCTTATCAGTGGTTTGGTTTCGTATATTATAGAGGTTCGCCGAACATGGATCAGATGAACCGGCATGACCCATTTTTGGTGGGAGGCAACAAAAACATGAGGTACCAAATGTCACCCTACCCAAGAGAAGCTCAAACTGCTTCGGCCTTTTGATTCGCAAGGCCCACATAAAAACTGGAACCGACCTTTCTTGCCAGAGTAGTGATGTGTCAAGCCAGAAGCATACTGTAGAGAACCTTTGCTTGATCACGTCGGATCTGAATCCGGATGAAAAATCATATAAGAGGCGATACTCCGAGAAAGATACATTTATTTCCCCTCCCATCTACTAACATGGAACCTGACGTTTCCGGGTCCTAAAAGACGATTATGCTTTTCAAGCGAACCTTTGGTGAGTTCCATGTGGACAGGAGGCCTCGGTTTTCCTCAGGTGGCACTACTTCCTCACCTTGTACAGCTTGCTCATGTGTGCGGGGTGCCTTGACAGCAACCTTGCATGTCCCCCGAGCCAAGCAGGGTTCCATTGAATGAGTTACTTGAAGGGCGACTTACGCCAAGTGGTTGATTCCCCCAAGAAGAACGAATCTACCGAATTTGAGTCTAGCTTTGGGTACTCTCAAGCAAATATGGCCCTGTCAAGGCGGTTGTTGCTTGAAAACACAGGAAAAGGGAGGGTCGGCCTATGAAAGCTTGTGGTATCACTCTGCACATTCATCCGGGAGAGTTGGCTGACTATAGGCTATAGGCTTAGTATTAGTTTAGCATTGGTTGAGGTATGGTATTGGTACAGAGCTGGTTGGTCCTGGAGAAACACTTGGCCTAATACTTCAACGGGCTTCAACTTTTTCAGTTGCAGTTCTCACTGGAGGTAAGCAGGGGACACCCTGTTGCATCTAGTGGTAAACCTCCCGGTGACTTGTGATAGTGGAAGCACTGGGTTAGGGATTGGGAGTAGGAATTTGTGGCCCCACGAAAGCTAGCTTGCTAATTCGCCGGAGTCTGACCCGGTGCTTTTGACACAGTACTCAGTTGCCCAAGGCAAATCAACCTGAAGTGATCTTTGTTGGTTTCCACTGTTCGGTGGTCCTTCGGGCAAGTGAGGTTGGCTGTCTTTGTATTGGATCTTCTCATTTGGACTTTCCACCAAGCAAGTGAGTGAGCAACTTGCAAAAAGCGCCCTCTCCGCTCTTTGCGCCACTTGGTGTTGGGGAAGCTGACAGAACTGGATATGGGGAAGCTGACAGAACTGGATATGGGGAAGCTGACAGAACTGGATATGGGGAAGCTGACAGAACTGGATATGGGGAAGCTGACAGAACTGGATATGGGGAAGCTGACAGAACTGGATATGGGGAAGCTGACAGAACTGGATATGGGGAAGCTGACAGAACTGGATATGGGGAAGCTGACAGAACTGGATATGGGGAAGCTGACAGAACTGGATATGGGGAAGCTGACAGAACTGGATATGGGGAAGCTGTCAGAACTGGATATGGGGAAGCTGACAGAACTGGATATGGGGAAGCTGACAGAACTGGATATGGGGAAGCTGACAGAACTGGATATGGGGAAGCTGGCACAACTGGATATGTGTTTGTTTTTCTTATGGAAATCCTTTTGGGGGGTTGCTTGGGAAGCCTTTGGCAAGCTCAGCCATGGGGGTCGCCGGCGCCGTTGTTTTTCCTCTTTTTTCAGACAGACCCAGGTGGCGTTTTTGTTTGGTTGCCCCTTCAAAGTCAGCGACCAAAGCAACTTCATGGCTATTTGATCTTTGGATTTTAACTGTTTTGTTGACACTTTGTCTGTTCCGTATTGGACCCACCAGTTAAAAGCTGATAGAATCGCCAAGATATGACACGGGCCTTTGATCCCGTGTCCGCAGGGGTGGATGTCTGAACCTTATAAACCACCCAACTGGTGGTTTCCTTTGTTCAGGGACCAATGCCTGGGCTCATTCCATTTCACATTCCCTACCCACGGAATTGTGGCGGATTTGGGTTCGGTTTCCCGGCTTCTTGGAGGTTGAGGGAGACAATGTTCAACCCCTCAAACCCCACCAGCCCCTTCGAAGAACCCTTCTGAGAAGGGTTCTCCAATGTTCCCTACCTTGGATGTTCAACTGCCATGACGTCATGCCAGACGGAGCCTTGGACCTCATTATTTGAGGCCTGTCTTTGGGGGTCAAAGGCCAACTCATATTTCGGGTCCTCTTGGGGCTAGGGTGCAGAAGCGCAGAACTCCGCCGGCCCTCTGGGTGCGGGAAACAAAGGGCGTTCGCGTCTCCGAGTTACTGAGATGGTCTGGGACTTAGCTAAGTTCCAAGGGTTGATTCCTTGTCCATTCTTTGCAACCATCGCTCTTTTCAACAACCGGATCCGTTTCCCTGGGTTTCCGGATGTTTTCTAGAAAGAACTTCGGATCCCTGGATAGAATGGGGAAGGTAGCACTAGAGAAGTGGTTAGCCGTGGTTGCAACCCACTTAGCATGGTTGTAAGTCCCCCAGCTAGGTGCCCTTTTACCGTTTTACCCTTTTTGGTTGGGAGATTCGGTTCCCCTACTAAAATAGACTACAGAAAACAGTTGGTACCCTTCTTCTAACCTCGAAAAAATATGGAGGACCCTTATAACCAGGGTTACTACCCATTTGAGTCCCAGACCAAGTAAGGACCGCCTGGATCTACGTGGGCTCGGACCTCAGCGGCCAACTCACGCGCACTGGCCTGGACCATGCGTCCCACCTGCCCTTCGCGGAGAATGCGGCTCGAAAGGAATGGGGTCGGGTTGGGGAGGTGGGGGGGTTGGGGGTTTGGGGGGGTTGGGGGGGAGTGTTTGGGGGTTTGGGGGGGTTGCTGGGGTTGTTGGAGGGTTGTTGGGTTGTGGGTTGGGAAGGAAGGCATGCCAAGCACGAGGAGCCAAGTTCTAGCTGGCTGCAAGGGGGCCAAGGAGCTGGCATCGAAAATCCTAGGAGCCTTTTGGATGGTTGAAAAACACAGGGTTTTCTAAACTCGCTGTCCGAAAGGAAGCGGGAGTTCCCCTGTCCAAGGCGCAAGTTTTGGCCAGAACCACATGAGGTTCCTCAAATCATGTGCCCACTCGACCCGCAGAGTCGTGGTAAGCAAGTAACATGCGAGGCCTGTTGGACGCTGCTTCAATGGAAAACAAATGAGTCACAATCAACACTGTTTTTGAGGTGTATACCCCCTTGTGGTTCGTAAGGGGAAGCAGAGCGAAGGGGGACCTTTTGACAGCAGGGGTCAACAAACGTGGGGGCTGGGCAAAAGTTGATGTAGTTTTGTTCCCATCATGCTTGAACGTTAGGGTAATGTGGACCCACAAGTCAACTTGATGCATTAACAGTGGCGTTTGGATTCAGAAGCTAAAGTCTCACTGGTCCAAAGCTTTGACCTTTTGGCTTTCCAATTTTGGAAACCACCTTTGCTGGCCCCAAAAGGTGATCACCTTCTGAGAAATCGGATCCACCCCATGAGTCAACCAGAGATAAATTGATCCAGGGCCCGTGACCCGATGAGTCGCAGTTTGGGTCGACAGGCCATGGCGCTTTGTGGGCTGAATGCCGAGCAGAACCATTTGGGCCTTGGAACGCAGGAGCGGTGCCGGTGGGTTTCTGAAAGTGTGTGTGTGTGTGTGCGTATGTCTGTGTTTTGGCAGGATACCTGCTTTCGTAACGCTTCTTGGTATAACAGAAAGGAAATTCGAAGCTTTCGTTTGTCCGTTTGGGTACGGTATGGTGCTTGCCTGGGACCGCAGGAGCTCTAGTCCAGTCTCCATTTGCCACCGCAACCCATTTTGGGGGTACCCTTTTGACAACCACGCCGTTTTTTTGGGGGGGCCCTTGGCCTTTCGACTTGAGAAAGGCAACGGCAACATACCGGGGTGAGGTCGAGCTCTTCGAGTGGCTGAAAGGCCTCTTGGTTTGAGAAGATAAATTAACGAAGAATCATAATCCATGTGAATATGCTTCATTCATCTATATTTGAAGTATGCATGTTTGAATATGTACATGTAAGTGTCTCGAAGTTTGCTTCATGGCGGATGTGTAGAATTTGCGCAAATCACCTCAGTCTTTGCATCATAACCGCCTTGCCTGTCCCAGCAAAATTCCTGTTTTCCAGAACGGGCATGGGACAAATTGATAAGCCCCTGGATAGTGTGCGTTCCACCATGTCCCCCCATGGACCCAAATGGACCATAGACTGCAGGTACACAAAGACAAACTGGTTCGCAACATCACCATGGATGGCGTTTCAAGAGGAACGAATACAAAACCATCACTCTCGAGGGTCCCTTTTGAAAGCGTCAGTAGAAGCACCAATTCAAGGCTTGTAAAAGGCCTACCTGGCAAGGAGCCCAGTTTTTATTTTCCTTGGCCTTTCGGGCAACCCGCTTTGAGCCACAGGGGGCGGTTTCTCATTTTCCCGCTACAAGAACCAGGGACCCGTTCAAATCCAAATCCCGATCCCAGCAATCCAAACCAACAAACAAGGTTTACTTCGGAATGACCGAGTCGGGGTTGGGAATGAACCGTTTCGGGATTCCCTTAAAGGAAACCCACCAGTGGATGGTTTACAAAGGGTCATTCGATATCTCATCCCTGCATCTCTCGCACCGATCGCCAGTTTTTCGCCATCACGGGCGCGTGGCTCTCGCCGTTTCGGGATTTCGGATGGCAGGACTTTGGGTGGCGAGCAGCCAGAGGATATCTGCTGCTTTGGGTGCTGGGCTTCTTGCCTCGCAGTCGCATACGTCCCGATGGTCGGCACTTAATTAACTGCTAAAATTTAGATTGTTGCTCCCCTTCTAACGTCAATCAAGTCCTAAATGCATCGCTTCCGTTCCGAACGACTTTGTACGTTGTAGAGGGCTAAAACCATACAGGTTTAGCTTTTTTTCGGCCAATCCAGTCAGCAGTTGAGCTCAGGCTTCGCAATCGGAATTGGTGGCTGCTACGTAGAATGTCTTTTTCCTGTTGTTTCCGGCTAACACGTTTTTTTTGAAAAGGCCATTGAGGTGGCAAACAAGATGGAGAATGTTTGTGGTGGGGCCAACCCCAAAGAGTATCCCCATGAGCCAAAATGAATTCCCCGAAAGGCGATTTGTAAGCTTCAGCGAGTCGGCGGTTTCCATGGGGCTCGCAGGGGGGAACTCAGTGGAGATCTTGTTCAGTGGGTTCCACTTCTTCTCGTGCAAAACGGAAGCCTCCAAAAGAAGCGGCTCCCATTCTGCAGAAATCTGCCTGTCCGTCACAAATAATTAAGCGCGGTATGTGACCATGTGCTCGAAAACCGCAAACTAGTTGGGCTTTTCACGTACTGTGGATGGACAGAATCCTGCACCTAAGAATCCTTGGAATGATGCTTACCTCTTAAAAACACAACTGTTCAACTTTTTGGGGGTAACATGGGCTATATGTCAGTAAAAGATGAGAACTTCCCCAATCCTTCGAGTTTTAAGGGGTAAGGGTGAATCCCCTGTAGATTCCACCAACCAATGGTTCCCCACGAATTTCCAAGTGGTGCGAAATGGAATTCGTCCATCCAAAGTACCTCAGCGTCTCACTTGCCAGGGACTCGACTCGACCGGAGACCGGATGAGAACCCCTTGGGTTTCCCAGATGTTCGTGTTTTTTCCCGGCAGGTTTGAATGGAGCCAGGATTTTTTTGTGGTTTTTTGGTCCTTGTTGGTTTTTAGTAGGCTGCAAAAAACGTCTTTTGCGACCATACCAAGGGTTGGACCTGTATCCTCGTAGCTTGCTCTCAAAAGGAGTTGCCTCTAAGAATGATGGTTGTTAATGATGGTTTGTTGGGTCCCATATGAACCGGTAGAAGAGTAATATGGGATCGGAATCTTGGTTTGACCTGGAGGATTGCCCCTTTCCAGTCACAGCTCTTGTTTTTTTGCGCTACCTGGAGTCTCCATGACCCTTAAAAATTTGGTTCATTACCCAAAATAATGGGGTCATTGACTCATTTTTTAAGGGTCATGGAGAGTCTAGGTATGGATTGGCATCCTTGAACCGCCATGCCGAGGTTTGATCCTTTCGCTTCTGCACACGATGCGGCAGAAGCGGGTCTGCCAGAGCTTCCATCGCAGGCCTGCAACAGCAAGGTTCGGAGTGAGTCCCCAAAAAATCCGTAGGGGCCACATCCTCAAAACCAGGGTAGATGGAGGTTAGTCTAGGTTCCCCAGTAGTGCCCTTTAACCATTTTTTTTTGTGGGTTGGGAGGGTTCCCCTACCAAAATAGACTACAGAAAAAAAGGATACCCTTATTCTAACCTCTCTACTGGAGGACCTAGTTAGTAAAATCCCAACCATAAATGGGTGCAGCCGCCTCTCTAATTCCGTGCATGGTTCTGGGAAGACCAGTTTACTGCCAGGTTTGGATTGTGACTCACCTGCCCCAGCGGAAATTACCGTGGATGTGCGCGAAATCCAGACATCGCACGTTCAGAAACCCATCGGTTTCTGAGTCGATCCTCCTGCAACCAAAGATACGTTGTGGTCTCAACCATGCTTTCAAAGTGGTGCCAAGTGGGCGCAACCATCCACAGCATCGTTGGAAATACGTTTCGATTTGCCCAGGGGTGAGCAAATGAGTTTCCCCTGCTCAAGGGAATCTACTGTTGAGTCTGTGATGCCTCCCCTGTAAATACCGAACAAACGTTATGTTTTCAACCATGGTTTCAACGTGGTGCAAAATGGATTTTGCAACCATCCACAGTACACTTGAAATATGTTTTTGTTTGTCTAGGGGTGAGCAAATGAGTTTCCCCTGCTTAAGGGAACCTACTGTGGATGGACAAAACCCATTTCGCCTCACCGTTCACAAAGCCCTGGTTTGTGATGAATCCCCTGCAAATACCAAACAAACGTTACGTGTTTCAAACATGGTTTCAAAGCGTGCGAAATGGACTTTGCAACCATCCACAGTATACACTAGAATTATGTGTTTGTTTATTTGGGGGTGTGTAAATGAGTTTCCCCTGCTTAACGGAACTTACTGTGGATGGACAAAACCCATTTTGCAGAACTGTTCACAAAGCCCTGGTTTGTGATGATGCCCCTTCAAACACAAAAAACAGTTCCGTATGGTTTCAACCATGATTTCAAAGCGGCGCGAAAAAGGTATAGTTTCTAGGTGTTTTTTGGTTTTGAAGGGAAACCAAGGCAACCAAAGATGTCGGTGGCATGTTCTGCACATTTGTTGGGGGGTGGGAGCGACATGCGTGAACACCGCCCTCACACGGGACAAACCGTAAACCGCATAATGCCCGTTTTGTCCCACCCACAGGCTCCTGCACCTTTCAATGGAAGACCCGACACCCATTGGACATTCCGGAGGTGTTTTTGGGTCTCAAAACCTGGCTGTTTGAGGGCCCTAAATACATCGGGAGCCTTGGGCAGGGCAGGGAGGAACAGCGCATGTCAGTCGTCTCGTCAGAAAGCACTTGCGTGTTCAGGTTGGCGAAAGCCTGATGGCATGAACATGTGTTTGTCTAGGTCCCCCAGTGCCCTTTTCAACCCCTTTTTTGGTTCCCCTACCAACATCTTACCTCTTAAAAACACAACTTTTCAACTTTTTGGGTAACATGGGCTATATGTCTGTAAAAGATGAACACTTCCCCAATCCTTGGAGTTTTAAGGGGTAAGTTAAATAGACGACAGACAAAACTCGGGTACCCTTATTCGAACCTCTCAAATCTGGAGGACCTAGTTGTGTACCCTGGGCTGGGGCCAAGTAATCAGGGAACCCGTGGGTGGGATTTGGAGTTGGATTTTTGTTCGGGCCCCTGGTGCTTTAGAAGGTAAATGTGAAACCACCCCCCGGGTTTGTCAAACCACCAAGGCAAACCACGGAGAAGAGGCGGAGGTTGAAGTAAAGAGTCTCGCAAAGTACAAGCTCTGTCGAAGTCATAGGTGTCCTTTTTGACTTTTGATTGTTTTGATAGACAAATCGATGGCCCTGGTTATCCCCTAAAAGGACGCCTGTGGTCAAAGTGCTTTGGCGAAGACGTCGGACAGTGAGGCATCCCTCGCTGGCGGAGTTTGCGCTGAAGCTGGAAGGCTTCCCGCCCTCCGCCACCAACGAGGAGCTCGGAGCCTCGAAATTTCCCCGTGGAGTCGGGGCACGACGAATACGGTAAAGACGGGATCAGCCAAGCAAAGAGGAATGGGACACCAACAAAAAATGGAATAAACCCGCGTTTCCACCGAACATGGCATGAACCACCCCCCAATTGTTGTGGGATGAGCTGTTGTGTTTTTGGCAGCCCCGGGGGCGCCAAACAACGGTACCCCTCCCCCCCGGGGAACAAAAAACAAAGCAGACTCATTTGGGTGAGACGTTGTCAGCGGTCCGGTTGCCTATGGAAAGGCGCTGATCGCGGCCGGTTCTGCGGGCTTTCGGGTTTTCGGGCGACAGGACCAAATCCTGGAGTTCGTGCGCCAGTGCTTCGGCGCCTCGGCCCGGCGAACAGCGGCGGACTTGTTTGTTTGTTTTTTCGTGGCGAGGGGATGGAGCCAGGCACTGGCCCGCTGGTCACTCTGGTTGGGTCCTCGTTGAAGCCACATGTACAGTTTCCGAGTGGACGGGTTACTTGCGGGGTCCTCTTCAAAACAGAAAGCCCGGGCTGCGATCTCCACCTAAGCGACCTACAAGGATCAGTGAGGGTCGGTGAGGGTTGGTTTCCGCTGGCGGGGGACAGATAGACTTTGGAGCGGTGTCCTCGATTCGCTCCGGAACCAAACTCATCCGCCGGCATTCTCGGAAAATTCGGGGGCCCCTAACTTCCTCTAGATTCCGTTCCGTTGAACGGGTTCTATAAATTTATGCGTTGCTGCATCCTTGTTTGGTTGCACAAGGCTCCCTTTTCCTTTTTTGGGGGTTGACACCAGCCTTCCGGCCCCAAGGCGGGAATTTTCCTTGCGTGAGGTTTAGAGCCGAACTGTAAGGACGAGCGATTCCGGTGAGATCCCTTAGAACCCTTTGAACGGTCACCCAATTTCTCCACACACGCGGCGAAATTGGAGTCTTCGGTTTCAACATCTGTTTGTCAACACAGTTTTCCATGTTTTCAGGGGCCACTTTCGTGCAATAACATGTTGGGTGAGGTGGCATTCCCCTTGTCAGGTTTGGATCTTCTGTTAAACTATCATATTTGACTGTCTTTTTTTTGGGAGAGCCCTTTTTGGAATGGTTTTAGAAAGGAAACCGCAAGGAACACCATTTTGGGGGGTCCCCTAAAGACACGCACACCCCCCAGAAAAAGAACAGGGGCCCCCCCCGGCTTCGATACGATTTTTTTCGGCTGGTAGCATAGGGCTCCCTCGTGGGGTTGACACCAGCTTTTCGGCAATGTGCAAAGGGGACAAGTACTTCACGATTGTTGGGAAACTGTTTTTTTTTTTTTTTTGCTTATTGTGATTTAGTGGTTGAAATCCAACCACTTAACTGCTAAAATTTGAATTTTTGCTCCCCTTCCAACGTCAACCAAGAGTAGGGAACAAGATAGATCTGGAAAAAGAAAACAACAACAAACAGTTAGAGCCCACTGGACGCGCCAATGCTACAACACACGCGCTGTGTGCCAGTCAATCGGCGTCTCCGGTTGCAACATGTTTGTTTTCCAACGTGCACTAGCCACTATTGTTGCATCATTTGCAGTTTTCCATTTGTTTGGGGGGGCAGCTTTCGTGTAGTAGCATGTGTTTGTTCACTAGTTACCAGGATGTTGGGTGAGGCATTCCCCTGTCTAGGTTGGATCTTGTGTTGCCAAATCCGTCCATATGTTAAAACACCAAGCAGCACCAGTTGCATAAGGATTCTGTTGTGTCAACAAGACTCACTTCTCGAGTTTCTGGACTTTCGGAACTTTTTGGGCTTGGACCATTCTAGTGGCATGCCCAAAAAGTTTGGACTTTGTTTCAGTCAAGTGAGCCAAGTCGTCCTAAAGCGTAAGGGCTTATGTGGGCTCCCTGTGCACAGATGTGTGCAAAGCCAGGTGGTCCAAAGCGTTGATCGCCATGGCAGGGCTTCAACGAGCTTCCGGAACCGAGGCATCCGGGACCTGCAGATCTCCGTGTGCTACGACTATCGGGATCGGCCTCTCGCTCAGACGAGAGGGGGAGTCCTCCCGTAGCTTCAAGCACACTTTGGTGCATTTTGCTGGGGATGTTAAGGACTTTAACTTTTTTGCAAATTCTAGGGGTTTTCCGTATTAAACCACTAAAAGTTAAACTTTTCGCAGGGGAGCAGAAAGCAACCGAGGACACCTTTGAAATTGTGGATCATTTTCTAGGGGTTCCCAGCCGTCCGGTTCCTTAGCTTCTTGGACTTGTAGTTGGTGTGGTTGTTTCCATTTAACCCACTAAAAGCCAAACTTTTAGCAGGTGAGCTGAGGACAGCCCAGTTTTGAAACACCCGCACTTTCCACTTTTTGGTTCGGATTCCTTGGATACGTGCAAGAAGCTATTTTACAAAGGCTTCCTCTAAACCAGCTGGCATTTGGTGCTTGCTGGATTGGAGGTGTATAGTGACCAATCGGCATCTTCGAAGTCAATGTCTGCCATGCATACCGGGGTGTCACCCACACATATGCATAGGGGGTGTCACCCCGGCTTCGGGCAAAAAGGGGAGCCCACCTATGAATCAGGCAGGGGTTTGAAACTTGTGGACGAAATCCTGTGCCAGTTGTGATGGATGAAGCCTACTGGAAAACCGCCAATTCCAACTGGTACAAAGATGTTTTTGTCCGTCCACAGGGTCGCCCTGCCTGCTTTGGAATGACGGTGTCATATTCCACAATCATGGGCTCGGGGGTCAAATGGCTGTGGGTCAAAACCAACGGTACCATTTTGGGGTAGATGCATCACCCAGTAGTGGGGATTGGGATGTTCACTGGGGTACGGGAATTTGACCCAAAAATGGGGTCATGACCCCTTTCTTTTGCGTAATGACCCCATTTTTTAAAGGTCATGGAGAGTCTAGGTTGATACACTTTTTCCAGTCGGTTGAAGGGAACCAAAAGGAAAAACCATGTGGGAGTCCTGTTTTGCGCATGCCCATCGCCTTGGTTGCCCCTTCCATGGCTTCGGAATTCGACTCTCCCTAAGGCGGCAGAGGGTGCATGAGCTTCTGGAGAAGATCCTGGTGGAAGAGGATGTGACCGCAGGCGCGCAGAGTTATATGATCTTTGGCGCATTTTGCCAAGGGATGTTAGGACTTTAACTTTTCGCCAACTAATGGTTTTCCGTATTAAACCACTAAAAGTTAGTCACTTTTAGCAGGGGAGCAGAAAGCAACCAAGTGATGCTACTGGTTGAAACCGCTCCTTTGAAACAAACTACTTTTGGGTTCCGTTGGGGCCGGATGGTTTGGGTGTTAGCTTGAACACCAGTTGGTCAACCCTGGCGCAACCTTTCTTCAGGAGTTGAAGGGGCTACACTCGATAGGCCGGAAGGCTTGACCCTGACCCAGCCGGAAGGGTCTGCCAGCCCAGCTGACTTGCTGAGTGGAAGATAGTTATACGCACTGGTTGGGCCTTGGCTAAAAGAAGAAACCTACCACCAGAATGTCTAAGGTTTGCAATTGGCCTTACTGATGTGAACCAATCGGTTCCATCTTTTTGGAGTGTACCCCTTTTTGTAGGGTTTTTAAGGGAAACGTGTCAGTAACCATAATAGGTTTTGCAAAACCATGACACATTTGGGGTAACCACGCTAAGCTTTTTCAGTAACCACGACAGGGAAGCCACGCAACAGTACGGGAATGGATGGACATAGCACTGAAATGAAGGGAAATGGACGAGAGTGGACGGGAAAGCACGGGAATCGGCGGGAGTGTACGGAAATAAATGGGGGAATGAACGGGAGACGGCACTGACATGGAAACAAACTGGAATGAAGGGAAATGGACGGGAATGAAGGGAAATGGACGGGAATGGACGGGAATGGATGAATTGGAAGTCTGGACACGCGTCCTCTGGATTTTGCGGGTTCCCCCAGATAAGCGTGCCTTCTCAAGGGCTGGCATGTTGGTTTGTCAGCCTTGGCTCTGGCCTGATACTTTTAGGCATTACCAGTTGAGAGGCATCACCAGCATCAAAGGCATAACCAGCATCAGCAGCAGCACGGGCATCACCAGCAGCCATGGATGCGGATTTGCACGTCACACATCGCCAAACAAAACAGACTCATATTTTTTTCCGGGCCTTCTCCGGATTCTGCGGGCCTTCTCCGGTTTTGCGGGCCTTCTCCGGGTTTGCGTGCTCCCCCAACCTCTGCGTGCTCGCTCATTTTTATTTTTATTTTTCAATCAAAAATAAAAAGTTGAGAAGGCACTGTCCACTTGGGAAAAGCCTATGGCTAAAAATGAGGTACCTTACAGCAAAAACACACATCGGCTTTTCCCCGGGGTATCGTGCCTTCTCAGTTTTTTTTCTTTTCTTTTTTTCCGGGCGGTTCCCCCCAGCCGGATCTGCGTCGCCCTGATCGGATCCCCTGTTTGATTTCTTGGGGATCCTAGCTGGTTTTTGACCACAGGGAAAACAACAGGGTTCCATTTCCAGTCCCAGGGGCCCAGATTGCTTGTGAAACAGTGCCTAAAGAGAAAGAGTACTCAGTGCGTTGAACCTTCGTGTGAGGGGGGGACAGCTGGGAAAGCAATCATCAAGTAATTTTATGTTTGGGTGTAGCGCCCATCAGAGCGGTTCCAAGAATTGAGAAGGCATGGTGCCCTGGAGAGGCCTCGAAGATGGGGGTCCAGACCCTCGAATGAAGGGAAATGAAAGGGACTCCAAGTCGTAGCCAGATGTGTAAACAGATATACTCATATATAAATTGCCGCTTACACGACTCAAGATAGCAGAATGAATCGCGACGGCAAGCCGGGCTGTTCAGCGCGCGCTCAGAGCTGCTCAGGGGTCGGTCTTTGAGCATGGCGGATCGATGAAGACCCCGAAGCGACCCCGAAGTGGGGCTGGAATTCACCGCAGGAGGCATCTTTGACTTGGGTGAGTAGAATTTCATCGTCCAGCTGACAAGTCATATGGGCGTCACATTGCAACTTCTGTTGCGCGAGCAGTATGTTGCTGCGGTGAGGTCGCTGTGGCGCTCACCCTGAAGTTTTGGAGGTTCACAGTGGCAGCCAGGCAACAGTTGGTGGTTCGAGAGCAGGAGGCTTTGTTCATTATTCCAGGACTTTCCGCCACGCTACGCAGAGAGTAAACTGCACCACTGATTGAATCATCACTTTTTCAATCATTATGGGGGGGGGGCTACCGCCCCCCCCCAACTCCCCTGCTACGTTTTAGGTGTTTTACAGGGATTAGTTTGCACCCGTATTTGAATCCTCACTTCTACCATCATGAGGGCCCCTTTTTTTTAGCATGCATACATAAATACCTACCTACCTTGCCGGAGAGGAGCTGATGATGCTGAGGATGTAGGAAGCCAAGGGGATGTTGCAAACGATGCTGATGATGTTGACGGACTAGTGTAAAATACGTGAGAAAATGCTGTACAATACAGCATTGTACTAGCCAGGACGGAAAACAAAATAAATCCCAAAACGAAAAAACAACTCGACACAATCCGCTCAAGGAAGCGAGCTTACCAACTTGAAGATCCGACCGGGTAATGCCAACGTGCGTTTGGGGCTTTGCCCCTTTCGAAGGCGCCTACCATCCAAGCTTGGCCGGGGACAAGCTCAGTGAGGAGGATCGTCGCGAAGTGAGGCTGGCGTTATTCCTTTTTCGGGCGTTTTTTGAACAATCAATGTAGAGTTTGCTAGCAAAGGGGCCATGATCACAAGGAGTGTTACAATTGTACATATATCGAACTATGCAGCCTGGCACACCCAGTCTATTGTTTGTGCGATTGAGCATCGCACCCTACTGGTGTGCTGCGCAGTGAAGGGGTTGATGCCTCCCCCCTGCTGTTCAACCATTGTTTCGTAGAGCCAGTGGGAAACGTAGCGCAAGGATTTGTGTTTCGGTATGTTTCGGTGTTCTTCTTTTTCTTTGTGTTTTGCGTGATGGTAGGGTGCAGCGAGGGGGCCAGACACACGGATGACCACGGGGCAGCATGTATAGTCGCTGACAAGAATCAAGGCATGCTTTTGTGAATTAGCTGGCCGATCCTATGTTTCAATGTCTAGTTGGGTGTTGGGGGTGAGCAAGTGGGTGTGCGCAAAAATTGCAAAACGGTGCTCCGGTAGGTTTCCTCCAAAAAAAAACACAAAAAAGGGTGCCGAGCCTCAAAACAGACAACGCCGATGTCCCCTTAGAGCCTCCAGACCATGGGCCATGTTTCCCAGGCGCAAACGAATGGGAGATTTCCAGACATGTTTTTTTCCTTTGACCATGGTTCTCCGGCGCGGAGCCAGGGGGTTGGCACCGTTTTAAAGCAAACGAAATGCTCTTGCCATGCTCGGCATGGGCGGGATATGTTGCAGGGTCGTCCTTTGCTTCACTGTTCTTTGCGTGTTGTTCAGCTTGTTTGTTTGTTTGTCTTTTGTTTGTGTGCTTGCTTGTTTAGTATTTGTTGGTCCTGATCATTGTTAGTGGGCGCTGCAAACAAAAAAAACAATGTTTTTGGCAACCATACACAGGTTTGGTGCTACCATGTCAAGGTTCGGGGTCGTTGGGGGATAGTTCGAAAGATGAACCACTCGGGCTGCCCTGCAATTGAAACACGCACATGCATGTGCGGACGGTTTCCTGGTGTACCGTTTGGTTTCCTACAATCAGATAAGGGGGCTTGATTGGGTTCCCATGCGTTTCTTGCAGGAAGCCAACATGAAACCAAAGATGGGGGGGGTCCCAAGGATATTCGCCCAAAAGGCCGTTTTGCTCTTTGGGGGGCATTCCAGGGATCTTGTTGGGCTACCGGCCCCGTGTTTTGGCATCTTTCAGTGGTAGGTTAAAGCAAAGCCGCAACCACATGTTCTGACTTTGAAACCCCCCAGTGCACTGTTGGCATGTGGTTTGGTTAAATGTTGACCCTTGATTAATAAGTTTTCAGTTATTAGTCAGGGGGTGGTCCCTTTTTGGTGGGGAGTCCTTTCTTGCAGGGAGCCCACCTGATAAATAACAGGGGGTGGTGAATTAATCACGGGTGAACACTAGTTGTTGTTTGTTCTATTCATTTTGAGTAGGGGGGCTGCAAAAAACACACAAGACAACACATATTTTGCTACCATGCCACGGGTTGGACAGCCCAGAACCAGCTGAAACTCGACTTTGCAACAAAAATGAGACATGTGGCTTTTTCCGCCCTTGCATAAAGGGAAACCACCATTTACAAGCAATGTTCAGGTGTCATCCGGATCCCTGCTCTCTTCCCCCCCACGTCGAATTCGCCGGCGCTTGGCTCGAAGGCGGTGGTGTGAGCCTGGCCCTGCGGCGCTGAAGAACGCGGGCTCCGTGTTCGCGACCTGGCGCTCGCTATGGCTCGGCCGTGCCGTGGGGCACGGGCCGTGTCAGTGCATGGTTGTTGTTGGGAAACAGTTTTTACATTTTTGCTTATTGTGGTTTAGTCGTTGAACCCCGCTTAACTGCTAAAAAGTATGTTTTTGCCCCCCAAACCCAACGTCAACCAAGAGTCAGAGTTCCGTTTCGGACTTCAGGCGCTAAACCGGGAATTTTCCGGTTTTTTGTGGTATGAATGAACAGTGCAAATTTCTTTGCCCATCCACTCAGGAAGCTAAAACCTCAGGTCTACGACTATTTCGACCCTGCCGAACTGTTCGTCGCTCGTTGGGGTCCTGGCTTGGACCATTTTCCTCCCTGAACGTCAGGTTCCATGTTAATTGGTGGGAGGGGAAGACATTTTAGGGCAAACTGAAGATAAAGCATAAGCCGTTGTTTTGCTTGGGGGGGAATAATTGCCCCAGATGTGGGCAGGGGTTCCTGAATGCAGGTTGAGGTTAGAGACGGTTAGAGGGCTGGAAATCAGCCTGACCCAGTTTCAGAACCCTCCTTAACTCATAACATTTGAGAGGGCCTTGCTGGGGGGGGAGGGGTAGGGAGGCGGGTCCCAATTCGTGTCTAGCAAAAGGTGTCCTTTTTGGATTTCCGTGCGGATGGTTTGGGTGGCTTGTGGGCATATCGTTGCAGCTGATCAGATGGCAGAATTGCATGCGCCCAGGGTACGTGCCAAAGGTATGATGTATCCTTGTAAGCCTCATGTAAAGCTGGGTGCCTGCCAGTTTGAAGTAACCTATAGTCGCGCCATGTTTCAATGGGCACGGAGTTGTTACCCTTTGATCTCAAGGTGATCTTCCGGTACAACTACGACTTGCAGAGCGCGCAGCAGCAGTTTCCAGAACACCACCGCCCTAGTGAAAAGGCCTCAATTCCGAGACCGCTGGTCAACACGATGGGTAATGATTCAGCCCCTTGTATTATGCCTGGTTTTTGTTCCCAAGTGGGATTTACCCTACATATAGCCTACTTAAAGGAACTGTTAAAGGGGAAATTCGCCAGGGTGTAAATATATGGCACAAGGAGACTGGGCAGATCAAACACAATCCGATAATCATGTGGTTTCTTTAAGCGGAGTTCGAGACATCGGGCGAGTTACCCAAACAGCCCGCCACTCTGCCAGTTTGTCATGCAGTGAGGCAAGGCCGCCGTCTCGTTTCATGGCACATCCAGGTTGTTCTTTGCGTGTGGCAACCATCCAAACCGCCATTCCAATGAGTCAGCCCCTGGTATTCACTACTCCGTGGATTCATCGTCAGGTTGTTTTGGAATTTCTGGGCTGTGTGTCTCATCTTTTTGCAGCTCCCCGCCCCTCCCAAAAAAAAAGGAGAAATTTCGCTTCACCCCCCCTCCCCCCCCAGAGAGTGGCCATCTCAGTGGTGTATTCAGCAGCCAGGTGCCGATGTTGCCGCACTCCTTGACCCCCGAGTTCTTGCCCTCCGCGCCGCTGCATTGGGCACCTTGGCTCAAAATGGCTAAGGGGCCGGTTCTTTGGTGGGCGTCCAGGTGGGGTTCGCTTTTTGTTTTTTGTCGGTTTCGCGTGGTCAAAATGACACAGCTGGGGTTACGGGAGTTTTAGTCATTGCTTCGGTACGCCAAGGTGCCATCTTGGGTACCATTCAACCACACGTGTTTTTCTAGTGAGGGACACTTTGGACGAGGGATTCGTGTGCTTTGTGTGATTGCAAACTTCCACATGTGTTTCAAAACCACCATTTTGTTTGCTTTCCACCAGACGTGCTCAACCCGAAAAGGAACAAGGGGATTCTTTATTTCAAAGGATTCACCCAGGGAGGTTCATTCCAAGACCCACAGTTCCATGCCTTGCGGTGTTCCTCATTTGAAAGACTGTGTCGGCTTTCTTCGGTGACACCAACAAACTCCTGTGAGGTGATGAAGTAGTCACGGGAGCGGATGGCCCTGCTTTTTTGGAGGAGCAGGGGGGAACCCCCCCCAAAAACAAGTCACGCCCGCATGTGACAACGCGCATGAGGTCGGAGAAGACGGGCGCATGCACAAGCTGACGGTCCGGGACGTGGCGTGTGAGCCACCGGAGGCGGGAGGAGCGCTGCTGAAGCGGCGCCGATGCGACCATGGCGTTCCCCGCGTTCCAGTGAATTCCAGCGCTTCATCGTGCCTTTGGAAATTCGAATTTGCAGATTTGTTGGAAGCCAACTGCATATTGCAAGTTTGATACGTTTTGCCGTGGCTTGTGCAAGAGGCAGGTAAGTACTTGACATCCTCTTGGGGCAAGCATGGCAAGCACCAAGTCACTGCGAAGCATACCCCCTTTGCGCGTCTATGGCCCATAGCGCCCTCGCCCCAGATACTTGGGGCATGCCCCCAGCACCGAATCGCAGTGAGCCCGCAAACTGCGGGGAGCCCGGTTCTTTTCACGTGTCCTTCGCAGGGGCCCCGGGAAGAGGGCTAGGCCAGTCGCTTCTCTTTTGGTCCCATCGGCCCTTCCCCCAAACAAAAAGGAAAATTCTGGGCGAGCTTCCCCCCAAAACGCGTAACCGTTGAACCCAAGTCTCCCTTTGCCCCAAAAAAAGGCAAGGGGCACCGTTGAACCCAAGTCTCCCTTTCATGGTTGCTGTTGGGAAGCATTTTACATTGTTGCTTATTGTGGTGTAGTGGTTGAACTCCAACCACTCAGCTGCTAAAATGTCTAAACCAATTTTCTCCCCAAACCCAACGTCAACCAAGCTTCGCTGGGAGCCGATACGGGCTGCAAATGGATCCATGGATCCGATACCACGGGAGGTCGCCTGGGAACATCTGGGCCTGGGCCTTTCCGCGGTGTACCGCCGCTTCGCCTTGGCCTCGCTGGCGGTCCTCGTGAGCCGCTCGGCTTGGAGCGGAGCGCTTGGAGGGGACGAGAACCGGAGTTGGTCGAATTGGGCGCGCGAGTCAGTCGGAAGCGTCGCGTTGGGAAGCGGCTTTGGGGTTTGATCAAGAGTCGTCCACCAAAATGGTGGTTGGTTGATTGATTGGTTGGTTGGTTGGCTGGTTGGCTGGTTGGTTGGTTGGTTGGTTGGTTGGTTGGTTGGTTGGTTGGTTGGTTGGTTGGTTGGCTTGCTGGTGGCTTTTTGGTTTCTCCTCAAATTGCACGGATTTTCTTGTTTGTTTCTTCCTAAGATCGATTTCCCTGCCCACCCTTAACTACCAAAGGGAGTTTGGGATGGTGTGGGATGGTTTGGGCCAACCCGGGGGTCTTTTCTGCCATCTGAAACATATACCAATGGAGGCCATACTAGGACGGGTTCAGGCCAACAGCTGATCTGAAACATGTTGAGTAGCGCATGGTCAATGTTTTGTCTATAGTCTGAAATTTAGCACTGGCTTCAGGAGTATTTAAAGGTTGGCCAGCCACAAGTCCTGACCACGGTTTGACTCATGATTCAGATTGAGTTGTGTTTTACATCCTCCCTTAACTCTTTTGCTTTAAACTTGGGTTCCAAGTAATCTAGAGTGTTTCTTCACATGAACCAGAGCTTATGACTTGGACATGTGCAACCAGCGCTCCAATCACAAAGAGGCGTAGATCCAAACGACTACGGCTCATGCCAACATGGATCCATCATAGCCGTGCCCCACCGTAGGGCCAACTTCGGGAACAGCCGAATCCATTTGCTGGAGGTGATGGGAATTTTCACAGGCCGCGGCCGTTGGTTTTGATTGTTGGAAGGGGTTGCCTTCTCATTTGAAACCGGGATGAAGCAAACGATCAAGAGTCCGGGGGTTTACCCTTGAACACCATTTTCCAAAAGAGGGGGGTCAAAGGTATACCCTGCCTATAGGATCCAACCCCCTTGGTTGTTCCATAAAACCACTATACCACGAGGGGGTTGGGGGGCGGATCCTATTTGCCTATATTTTATAGCGAGCTCACCTGGGAGTACAACGAGCTCACCATGATAAAGGTCCTTTGCTTGGGGATCCAAATTCTTTTGGAATTATAGTATAATATGCAGATTCAAAAAGCGATGGCAATGTATATTGCCTGTGCCCATAGGATCCAACGCCCCTTTTGGCTCAAAAAAACAACTGGAGGGTTGGGGGACGGGGATCCTATCAAATGGGAGGCCGCACATTTCGCGGCGCTTGAGGCTTTGGCATCATTGCGGCTCTGGTTTTTGCGCCGCTGGCAACTTACTCCATCAACTACGTCTCCCAGGCACTCCGGGCACGGCGTGTGTCTTCTGCTTGGCGTTTGCGTGCATTTGTTCGTTTGTTGCTTGCTTGGTTCTTTACTAATTTGGTTGGTTGGTTGGTTGGTTTAGGTATGCGTCGGGACCAAGATCGGTGCGGGGGGGGGGGGGGCGGGGAAATTAATTGTCATGATGAACCCTTACAGCAATGTAGGAATCCCTTGTATCGTTTTTTGTACTGCGTGCGAATGTCACAGTTTGATATCTTTGCTTGTGCATTCCGCAGTGGCTTAACCCACGTTCTCACAGAGAATAGCTGCGCAACCATGAAATACACGTCAGTCTCCGTGCCTGCCAATCTGACTGCTTGAGTAGATATCACTGTATTGTTCTGTTCATCTTAGAATGCGTCAATCATTCAGTATCCTTTGAGCCCATTTTTGCGCTTTAGGGGGTTCGGGGGGGGGGGGGAGACGGTTCCGTTCTTGCTCCTTGAAAACGCATCTCATGAGCTCTGTGCAATCATGGTACCTCTTTGGAACGGCATTGTTTGCTAACTGAGTAAAAGGCTCGTCTTCTTACTGCTTTTCACATGTTTGGACTAAGATCGGTAGACGTGGTCCATTTTCATTCCTTCCAACAATTCAAATCACATTTTTTGACGCAAATCACAGTGAAATTGACCACATCCACCGATCTTGGTCCCGACGCATGGCTTGGTTTACTGTTTAGTTATGCTTTATGGCTTTCCTTCTTGCTTTCTTTGTTTGTTTATGTCTTGTTTTGTCCTTTCGTTCTTTCTTTGTTCTTTCTTTTTTGTTATCGTTCTTTCTTTGTTTCTTCCCTTCCTTCCTTCCTTTCTTTCTTTCTTTCTGTCTTTCTTTCTTTCTATTTACAGTTCTTTATTATTTTGCCCCTATTGAGGTGCGTTCGAGGGAATCCAATCCTGGTGCGAGGGATCCTATTTATTATTTTAAAAGAAACCCATGTATCCAGACAGCCCTTGCTGCATGCATTTCCGGAAAGAATGCCCAGAAGCAACCCCATGATTCCAGGGATCTTTCTTTTCAGACGATTTCTAAACACCATGGACTCTCAGTGTTTTCTCAGAACGAGGAGTCAACTGAATGATGGAATTGTTAAGCGACATGAGCAAATGGGTTAACGCAGCTATGGCTTCTGCTTCCAGCCCATCTCCGAAACACGTCTGCCAGGCAGGAAGCTTGCCGACGGGGGTGATGATGTGCTCTGGCAAGATGTGGGCAGAGGAAAATCCAGATATTCCGGTGGGACAAGGAGTCAAACCCTAAAAGGGTGCGGTGATAGGACTTCCTTTGCTTTTCCTTTCTGTGGCGCTAATTTTTCGGTGCTATGAAAATCACCACCTGATATGCTTGCGACAAGGTCTCAGATGCCAGAATCGCATGGTTATATATACTTAAAGGGGCAGGGTAACAAAGTAAGTGGTTAGTAAGCCTGGTTATCACCCACTTAGGAGACTCATGGAGACTCATAATCATGGTGGGTGGGTTATAACCATGGTTACTACCTGCCAAGTACCCTGCCCCTTGAAGTATGGGGCTATCGCATGAAGCTCTTTGAGGCCCGGGCGGTTTCCATAGGACTAGTTTCCTTTGCCTCCCTTGGATGCCCTTCGCCAAACTGGGAATTCAGCAGGGTGAATTAGAACGACCTCACACCATCTCACCCCAAATGGCGGTTTATGTGGGGAATAGCACCCCAACCACCTTATTTCATAGAGGGATCTTTCAGGTTCAGATACAGCTCCCAACGCGGGAATCGATCCAAGCCCTGTGGCTGTCGTTGTAGCCCCTGTCGCATTCGCGATTGACCATTTTGCTTTTCCAGTGGCAAACCCCCCGCCCAATGAATGCACCTCCGGGCGTTTGCAGAATAGAGAAGCCTGCACAAGTGTAAAACAAATTTCCCAGAATTCAGACACGTGGGATTGGGCCAAAACCAATGGTACCATTTTGGGGGTTTTCGGTGCACCACCCATTGTAGAGCCTATCTTAGTGTGGATTGGGGGGTACGGGATTTTGACCCACGGCCACTTTTCTTTCTGGAGTTCATTCCCACCACTTGTGGGTGGTTCCCCGCAGAACGCGCCCGTGCGAAGGTCTGTGATGGGCATCGTGGTGATGACTGCCTTAAGCCTAGCTGCGGGGGGGTGGGGCTCTTAGGGAAGGGGGGGGGGTCCTGATCTTAGCTGCCTCTTGTTTTTTGTTGGTGGCGGGGGGCTCCATTTGCGCCATTCTGGTGGTTGACTATATATACGGGGTACAGGGAATCGAATGGAAACCGTGTTTTTTTTTTTTTTTTTTGCGGGGGACAAGGTCATTGGAAGCCAAAACCTGACATCACTTGGTGGCTCCCAGCCATCCTCTTAGTGTTTGGTGGTAGTTTCCATTTAACCCACTAAGTTAAGCTTTTAGCGGGGGATCTGAGGGCAGCCCACATCATGCTGTGCATCCGTTCTTGTATTGCTGCTTTCGGTGGTTTCGCGGAGCCTCTTGCTTTCCTTGCTGAGAATTTGTGATGCCTTGAAGGTGCCTAGACTCTCCATGACCCTTTAAAAATGGGTCCATGACCCCATTCTTTCTGGTATTGACCCCATTATTTCTGGTACTGACCACATTTGTTTTGGGTAATGGAGACTCCTGTGGGCGCTCTTTGGCAAAGGGTTCGCCGAACCGAGTCTTTGCTGAAGGGACGGTTCATTCTCTAGCCCCTTATATATTTTTGGTCAAGCGGAAGAAGGCCAATGTTTAACGGCGCCAAACGGGGAATTCTACGTAGGTGTCAAAATGTATAGGTACCCACAAAATAAGTGGTTTGCCTTTGGCTTTCCTTTGAAACTACCCCAAAAACAAAACCCTCAAAAGGAACTTTGTTTGTCTCAACATAGGGTATCCCTGTCGAATGGGAACCTTGGATCTAAGCAAAACGCCTGGTTGATTTTGATCGGAGCTGTGCGAGTTCTTTTTGTGGGGTTCATCACTTTTGCAGGGACCAGGAGCATGCGTCAGGGCACGAGCAGCCTAATTCGCAGCCGTGCAGGCGGACATCGCCAGCGGGCGAACCCGTTGGTCAAGAGCAACGGGCTGCCAACAAAAAATGGACTTAGATCCGGGGTCAACATAATTCAGGACTTGCCGGGAAACTAGGGGCCAATGACCGAACATGAAATTCCCCATGGTCATGGCTCAAGTTAGTTTTAGGGCACCCCAGCCCCCTGTTTGCGACTCTTGGCTCCCAAGCTTTAAAAGAGCATAGGTGTCCTTTTTGGTTGTTTTGCTAGAAAAAAAAGGATGGCGATTCCTGGTTTACCTGGTGGATTGATCAGCTACCAGGGAAACCCATCTATTTCCCCTAAAAGGACACCTATGGAAGAGAGGCTCTTTTCGGCGCTTTTGTCAGCACCAGCCCAGGTGAACTGGATGATTGGCTTGCTTCACGTCTTCGACGCGGCCTCAGAGCTTTGACGCGGTCAGAAGGTTCGGAAAATGCCAAGGCAGCGGCATGAGGCCTTTACGCACTCCGAAGCGAAGCGACCCTGAATTGACCTTGGTGTTTTGCTATGTTGGTCCATTTTAGTGGCCAAAAGGTGACCACCTTGTATTTGCAGGTTCCTCAAGGGCAACTGAGAAGATTCTTGACAAAAATTAGGTTTGAAGAACCCCGCGACCACATTCGTCTTGCCCCACTTGCACGCCAAGGGTATATATATATATATAATATAGTTTCAGGGGTACAGCCCTCAGGCCAGAGACGGCTTTGTGTCAAAACTGTCCGTTTTGAGGGCCTTCCGGATGGCTTCGTGTTGGGCCCTTCTTTGGTTTTCGATGCGATTCAATGTCCAAGTCGCTGGCATAATGGTTTACATGGATTGTGTGGCGGTGCGTCAAAATCTGAAACTGTGACATCTACATGTTGCAAGTTTCCAAATGGTCAAAATAGGGGGAACCTAAGAATTGTAGCAGTTTCCCATTGAAGTCACCCCTCCCCCCCGCCCCTTCGTGGTATCCTCTGGAGTGGTGGGCTCTCGTGGCTGTGAAGGGGTGGTGGCTTGATGGAACACCTGGGACTTACTGAGTTTACTTGCCTCGCGCAAATAACATGGTTGCATTGTGAGGACCCTAGTTAGTTGCTAGATCAGAGAAAGTTCCTTGCGATGCAAGACTGCTGCGCTCAGGGTGAGGTTGCTGGCTTCCTGATTGGGTGAGAGAGCTTGAACCATCTTGGTAGGTGAGTTGAATCCTTGTGCAGAAAGCGCGGAAGTTCACCCCTGCATGAAAGACACTTTGCCAACATTTCATGTTTGGTTTCGGCCTGGGCTTCTCCTTCAGCCTTCCGGGACTCTCTCTCAGCACGTACATCCAAGTGATATGCGGTATCCCGCATTTAACAGGTGGTCAAAGAAGTGAAGGTTTCCTTTGCCACAAAAGACGCATCCCATATGGGGCCCTGGACCGGACGATGTCGCCTTGGGTGTTTTTGGGATGTGGCCTCCGATTCTTCACGCCCTCTCCCCATATCCCTTCCTTTGCCCCCCATATGGCTGTGGGTCAAAAATAGGTACCCAAGATGGAACCTTGTCAGTTTTGACCCATACCCAAATGGTGGTTTATGTTGGGAATAGCCCCCCAACCACCTTATTGTAAACGCTTCGCGTTGCCCGCCTCGGCCCAGCCTAGTTTGAGGGAAGGGTCAGGAACACCGAAATCCAGTGTTGGGAAGGTCCGAATCCTACTGAAAGCTTGTGACCGCACCAGTTCGCCCGTGCTAGTTCGATGTTCGGAAGCCGTCCTGCTCGGACAGTCTCGGGCAGCTTGGCTGGTCCTTGCTTGCGTGGGTTGTTATTTAAGCTGGGCCTGAAGCTAGTTTACGGCGGGCTGGGCAGCCGCACTGAGGGGGCTGGGCTATGGCTGGGCTGGGCCTGAGGCCAGTTTCAGACACGTCAGACAGGCCTGGCCAGCAGGCGGACTGGGCTGGGCTAGACGCTAGTTGAGCCCCAGTCTCGGCGCTAGATAGGCTGAGGCCTGCGAGTCTGGGGCCTGAAGCCAGTCTCAGTTGCTGGCTGCGAGTTGCTGGCTGGAGCAGGAGGTCAAGGCCTGGCCAGCCTGGGCTGAGCTGCTTGGGCAGCCAGACTGGGGGGCTGGGGCACGTCAGACAGGCTTAGTAGCTGGCGTAGCTTGAGACCATTTTCAGACACGTGAGACTGGTCGTTGGCCTGTTAGACAAACCTGACCTGGCACGCTGGGCTGAGCCTGCTGTCTCAGTCACGAGGCTGCGAAGCTATGGGTGGGTTGCTGGCTGCCGGGCAGCCGGACGACGCTGCTGGTTGCGCCTGGAACTTGGGCTGGGGGGGCTGGGCTGAGCTGTGCTTGGGCGGGTTGCTGGATGGGCAAGGCCTGTTTCATACACACTTGGGCCTGAGGCTGGGTGGCGAGTTGCTGGCTGGGCTGGGCCTGGGCCTGAGGCTAGTCTCAGGCTGGCGTACTTTGAGAGCCTGCTGGATGACTTGGGGCCAGACGCGAGCAGGAGGTCAAGGCCTGGCCAGCCTGGGCTGAGCTGCTTGGGCAGCCGGACTGAGGGGCTGGGGCACGTCAGACAGGCTTAGTAGCTGGCGTAGCTTGAGACCAGTCTCAGACTGGCCTGAGGCCAGTCTCAGACACATTAGACAAACCTGACTGGGCTGGGCCTGCTGGTGGGCTGGGAGCTGGGGGCCGGCCTCGTGGGTGGCATGCGCTGAGATGCGCCGGGGCCTGGGCTGGGCGAGGTGGGTGCTGGTTGGCCACGAGGCTGCAAAGCCATGGGTGGGTTGCTGGCTGCCGGGCAGCCGGACTACGCTGCTGGTTGCGCCTGGAACTTGGGCTGGGCGGGGTGGGCTGAGCTGTGCTTGGGCGGGTTGCTGGATGGGCAAGGCCTGTTTCATACACACTTGGGCCTGAGGCTGGGTGGCGAGTTGCTGGCTGGGCTGGGCCTGAGGCCAGTCGCAGACACGTAAGACACGCCAGCAGGCGGGCTGAGGGACTGGGCCTCTAGTCTCAGACACGTCAGACAGGCCTGGCCAGCAGGAGGTCAGCACATTTTAAAATTTCAAGGCCTGCCCGACAGGATTTTGGGACAGCCGGGCCGGCAAAATTTTGGTTGGGGAGGGGGGTGGGGGAGGGGAAAAGCGAAGATTCTCTTTGGAGAAGAGATCTGAGCGCCCTTGGCCCCTTTGGGGCCGAGGCGAATTATCAACCACCTTAAACCGCGGTCCAATTCCTGGTGGTTTAACTTTGCCCCACACCCACATCCCGTAAGCCCTGGACAGGGATGCATTCGATGTTTCGACGGCGCAGGTCGCGTCGAAGGTGGGCTTCAGCCGCCGAGACCGCGAGGGCTTGCTGATTTTCAAGGCCCAAAGACTTGACGCAGAGACCCCGGGTGGGGATTTCGGTTGTCCTTCCATTTCCCCAGAATTAGCCACCTTTTTGATTTGTTTTGCCTTTTTGGGGTTCCCGTTGTTTTCCGCTAACCAGGCAAACACAAATACTTTTTTTGCTGGGGTCCTAATTCCGGGGGGGGGTTGCCTTTAAAACCCACTGCCCAAACAGTGTGTACCGCTTACCCTGGAGATTTGGGGGGGGGGGTTCTCAAAGTGGTGGGCCCCCCGAAACCAAACGGGCGCAACACCGAGTTTACTTTCCATCGTCCCTTTTGTTGGGAGGGAGCCACACCCCAACCTCTCCTGGAACTGCAGAGCCTTCTCCCGCTTATAGGAGCCGTTTTCTTCCAACAGGGCGGTCTGTGCAGGAATCATATCTGTTGGAGGGTGCTTTTGTTAAGGTTTGCGGCAGCTGCCCAAAAGCCCACGTGAAGAGTGGATTCTTTAGAAGAAGCAAGTAAACCAACCACAAGCAGAGGTGACAGATGGCGCCCGGAAGCCAAGGTTCAGTTTGTTGGGAGCCCCGCAACTGGTTTCCTCTTGGTCCCCTTCAACAGGTGGAGTCTTTAACCACAACGGGGAACCCCCCGGCGGCCGGATTTCAAACGGCAGGCGTTCTCGATGCTGTGCTTCGCAGTGCGCCCAGAGGCAGTAGACGTGGGTGGTGGTCTTTTGTTCAGAGGACCACCCTTCCCCCGAAATCATGGTTTTGTACTTATTTTGGTTTCCCTTTAGCACCACCCGCAAAAAAAGTGTTCCTCAAAAAGGACACACCCCAAATGTCAGCAGGGTACCCAAAACGAGGGTGCTTCCTCCACAAACCGTCCTCAAGTGTGAGTGATGTCATGGGGCAAGCCACGGTTTTAAGCTGCACGCTTCCCACGCATCGCAGCTTTGGGTGCCCCGCGCACGTCTCAAGCTGCGGTCGCTGCGCTTCCTATGGCGTCCCACGAGTGGCTGTGGCAGTCCTTGCGCGCGGGGCAGCACGCGCTGATCACCGGCCTTGCGCCGCAGGCTGCTCGCGAGCGGCCGAGTTCGCTTTGGGGCGGTTTGCTCAAAAAAAAATGCCAAGTGGTGCAACCTAAGGACCCAAGCGAGGAAGAACCACTAAAACCAGGGACACCACCCCCAATAATAAACATGGCGTATTTATCCGGGGCTGTCAATAGGTCATTTCTCAGATGCCCAGTGGATTTCCATGGGAAAAATGGGCACCAATTTTGTTGGTTGAGGAGAAAGGAACCGAACCCTTACCCAAAAGAAGAGTCGAAAACAAAACGGAAGCAACCCACTGGGCTACTCCGGCGTGCAGCCTACATGGCGTTCCCAGCCTGGAGGCTTATCAAAGGGGCCTGTGAGGAGGAGTTTGAGAACTCCCCTAAGTGATGACTTGAACCGCCAACTTTACTTTTGTACTCGGCTAGCCGCGATCCTGGCCGAATGCTTGAAGTCCATAAGGGGGAGCAGAAGCTCGCTTTTTGAGTTCATGGACTTAATACCTCTTGGGCTGGGACCATTTTAGTGGCATTCAAACGGTTTGGTTACCTTGTTTTGTTTTGCCATGTATGGTTCCTGAAAAGATTCGGATCCTTGGAAAGAATGGAAATGGAAGCTTCCCCTAGAACCAGCGCCCGGCCGAGAGCCGATCAGGACTTTGACTGGAAATCCTCACATCCGGTCTTCGGCAGTCCCCTCATGGCGACGGTCCACCGTGCCATCGCGCAACGGCGAACGGGCAACGGGAAGCTGACTGCAAAACATGATCAGCTTTGGTTCATGAGTTTTCTTTTGGGGGGAGAGGAATGTGATGAATGTCACACATGGTTTTGCTTGCCCACTTGCAGCGAACCTCTTTTCTGCTGGTCTCGAACAATCTACGTGTGCAGACAAAAGAATATGCGTAGCTTTTAGAGCTTATGCACTCTGGACCTTTTTGGGAAGACGACAGTTTGGGCTTCTTTTTTTTGCATGGCCACTCTGGAAGAGAGGAATTGACCACATGTTTGTTGAAAGCGGGTAGTCGCCCGCAACTCAGCCAGGATTTGATACTGCTGGCTAGTTCATCCGCCCAGTTGTGTTTCCAGCTTTCAAGAAAATGGTTTGGATGCGCTTTTTGTAGATGTCACCAGCTCTTCCCCTTGCAGGTTCTGTTTAGTACTCGCTTAGTACTTCTTTATTGTATTGGGCGGATCTACGAATCCACACCTGAACCGTTTTCTAGAAGCTTGTAGAAATTTGATGCTCCGCAGCTCGCAGTTTTTGATTTTGAACGACGACCAAGGTGCGGTGCTGGACGGCGGGCCAGAGGTCATTGAGATGGTGCGCTTGCGCCCCGCTGAGCTTTTTACAAGGGAAGGGCCTGGGAGTTGTTTTTCCGCCTGTGATGGGACACTAAAACATGGGATCTTGCTTCGCCCCGCTCTCAAAAGAAACCGAGCCCAAAAAGCAGTACCCCAGGAGACAAACCAACCTTCGGGACCCAACATCTCAATCAGCCCGAGGTTTTGGCGTCTACATCTGAGGCGTATCCTGAGCATACCCTGTTGGGTTTAGTGATGTGCGCCCTGGTGCTGAAATAGCCCTCCGTGCGGGTCAACAGCCTTCGAAATGTCCCATTCGCTGCCAGGGGCGTTGTCTGAGCTACATTCAGCTTCGACGCTTGTGCGCTTGTAGTACATGCGCTGCGCAAACAGAAAGAAAGAGAAAGGTCTCCTTGTTTTGGAACCATCCATCCTTTGATTTGGAAGGTCAAATTCCTATTGAGGGGACCCCCTCTCAGCTGTCAAGAGGGTACCCTCCAAATCCATTCGCTCATTTGTTAGAAAGGAGTATGACCTTCAAATGCTCAATTGCCCTTGCAAGCAGGGGCCCGGTTTCTGAACAAAAGGCAAACAGATAGTTTACAATGGCGGATTACAGGAGTTTCCCAGTGTCCTGCAAAACTAGCACTCAACATGGTCTTTGGTGGGACCCCACAAATTGATCTTTAAGTTTGCTAGAAAGCGCAGCACTGCCAGCACGAAGCGCTAGTACAAGCTTCCGTGCGCGCAAATTGCCATCACATAGCTTACATGATTAATATTCCGTGTATCCCCGTGTGCTTTTGCCCACTTACTCGCGCAAGCTCAAGCAATCGCAACCCCAAACCTGCCGACTGATCTTTTGCTGCACTGTGTAGTACTAGGGTTCCCGTTGCACAAAAGGCGGTCAGCCACAGCGTCTGCAAGCATTTTCGCAAGACACCCGCCCCTCAGCCCACCGCACCCCAAAGCAACCCCCCCCCCGCCCCCGCAAAAACGACCCCCCCCAAGAAAGAAATCACAAACACCCCCCCGCCCCCCCAACATGAAAAAAACCTTACGACCCCCCGCCCCCCCGCGAGCGCCTTAGGTGCATGCGCATGGGTGCGGACCCACGAACCTCCGTGCGCAGCGCCAGCGCACTGAGCGTGGGCCTGCCGCCCCCTCCGCCAGCGCAGGGCTGGCATTGCTACGACGACAGCGGTCGCACTTCGGACGGAGCAAGAGGGACGGTGTCCCTTTTGGGGGTGGTTTTACAGGGGAAGCCTTTTTGAGTGTGTGTTTTTTAGGGAACCATTTTTGGGTTATTTTATGAGGGAACCCTTTTTGCGTGTGTCTTGTTTTGAGAAAGCCCTTGTTTGGGAGTGGTTTCAGAAAAGCTGGCGGAAAACATATTTTTTGAGAGAACCCTTTTTTTGGGGTGGCTTCACGGGGGAACTGAGGAGTGTTTTGTTTAGGGAACCATTTTTGGGTTGGTTTTTATGGGAAGCCAAAGAAACACCTTTTTGAGGGAACACTTGAGGGTGGTACAGGCAAAAGGGCACCCTTGTTGTGTTGGACTTAAGTGAGGCCCTCAAGCAAGCCCAGGTGGCATCCCCACCAACAACTCTCTTTGGGCTTTGCGGGACAAACCTCCGTCCATGCGGAGGGCTGCGTCTTTCATGAGTCGCAATGGCCTACCTTCAGACAAAGAATCTAAAGGCCGCACAGACCTATGTTTGCTTGGGACCGTCTCCAGCCAATTTTGACTCATTTTGACTTTGTCTTTGATTCCATTTGCGGCAATCATTGCCCTCGTGCAGATAGCTCCTCTTGGGGGGGCCGTTTTTGGGTTCCACACGTATTTGCCGGATTCGAGGCATTTGGTGGCAGTACGACGGCATGCTGGGGCTGTATTGGTGCGAGGCGGGGCTGGGCGGGGCTGGGCGAGATGTTGGAACAAACCTCCGGCTTGTTTCAGCGCAAGTAGTTGAGCAATAGTGGTTTATTCCCATGTTCAGGCAAAGCGGTTTAGGTTCAGTTGCGTTGCACGATTCCCCCAGTTTTCCCCTTTTGGTTTTCAACCGCGATGTTCGCAGGACAACCAGAAGCACGACAGCGACAGCTACTCCTGCCCCGAGGGCGAGCTGACACTGAAGGTGATCGCAGAGGCCGGAAGTTGGGAGCCCATGTGACCAACCTGCCGGATGCGAGGCGGAGTTGGACTCAGTCCACGGCTATGAGTCACCTCTTAAGTTGTCCAAAGCGAATCGACCTCTTGACCTTTTGGTTTCCCACTTTGGACCATATGGCTAGGGCTACACGGGTTCTGGGCCATGTTTCCACTTGTCAGGGCTCCATTTGGGTACCGGTTTTTTGAGCCATAGCCATGCTTAGTTATGATCCCAAAAGGTTGACCTTGTAGTTATTCCTGATCCTTTAGGCTTCTCCAGCTTTGTGAGCTGGGCGGTTCATCCGGAACCGTTTGCTCCACGGTGGCACCAGGTTGGCTCTTTAGACATCTGTGAGGAAAATCTAGGTGTGTCCTAGACGCAGCCATTCGAAGCTGCCGGGAGTTCTGGGGACATTCCGGCAACGATTGCTGGGGATTGGGGTCAAGTGGTCGGATTCCTTTGACTTCTCTTAACGCAGTGAGTGTCCCTGGTTTCCTTTCCCATGAACCCGAAGAGAAACCAAAAGCGTACGCCAGGTTTGTCCAAACCCCCTCAATACAAAATACCCCTACCAATCGACAGGGACCCCCAAAAACGGGTTCCCCAACAGCTGATTCCTCCAGAATTCCATAGGTTTCTGGGGTTTCTTGTGGATGGGCGAAATCCTGCACCCCCTTAAACACTTGGTTGAAACCACAGCATTTTGACAAACAAAGGCCAAAGTTGCAAATCCGTGGGGGTTCTATCAAAGCAAACAACGGCCAAAATGGCCAAGGTTGCAAATGGTGGATTTGTTTTATCAAAAACCTGAAAACCGGGGGGGGAGGGGGTTAGGTTCTGGGTGATCGGTCGCAGAAATTCAGAGGAGCACTCGGGTCACTCGGCCATCTCCCTCCTGCTGGCCATCAAGCGGAAGTTGGAGTGCTGGGGTGCCGCCTACAAGCGGCAGCCCCAGAACCTTCGGAGACGCGAAGACGCCGGTGACGGGGGCGGCTCCAACAAACAACAGGGCTCCTTAAAAGATCTCCATGTTGCAAGCAGTTGAAACATGTGGCTTTTTCCACCTTTGCATAAAGGGACACCACCATGTACAAGGCAATGTTCAGGTGTATAATGTAAGGATCCCTGAAAAAGGAGCAAAGGGGTGAATGAGGCAGGTTTAGTCTATGTTTCCATTTTA